GCACACGGGCAACTGGAGTAACTGGCTCCGCGGCTAAGCAAGCGGCAGGAGCAACTAACTCACGGGCTACAGGAGCAACGGGCTCACGGGCAACTGGCGCAACGGTCTCACGGGCGATTGGAGCTACTGGCTTCACTGCGCCCACCCCCCTACAACTTCCCCCATTCCCCAAAACCTCCCTGTCACACCCCTCAGCATCCCTACTGCCACTCCCTCAACTCCCCCACGCCCTCCCCCCCCCTCCCCACAGCAGCATGTGCAGCAGTGGGAGAGAGAGGAGGAGAGGCGGCAGCAGTTCACTCACACCCGCCACCCCCATACCCTCCCCCCCACTGCTGCACCCGCAGCAGGGGGATGGAGGAGAAAGGGGGGGGGGCGGGGGGGCTGGTGCTGCAGATCCCCTCCCCCCACTTCTGCACCCGCAGCAGAGGGATGGAGGAGAAGGGGGGGGGGGGGGGGAGGGGGCTGGTGCTGCAGATCCCCTCCCCCCCACTGCTGCACCCGCAGCAGGGGGATGGAGGAGAAGGGGGGGGCGGGGGGGGGGGGGGGGGGGGGGCTGGTGCTGGAGATCCCGTCCCCCCCATTGCTGCACCCGCAGCAGGAGCATGGAGGAGAAAGGGGGGCTGGAGGGCTGGTGCTGCAGATCCCCTCCCCCTCACTGCTGCACCAGCAGCAGGGGAATGGAGGAAAAGGGGGGAGGGGGCGGGGGGGGCTGGTGCTGCAGATCCATTCCGGCCACCCCCTTACCCTCCAAGAGCCCACCACCCCCATACCCCCCCCCCCCCCCCCCCCCCCCCCACTGCTGCACCCGCAACAGGGGGATGGAGGAGAAGGGGGGGCGGAGGGGCGTCAGTCGCGGGCGTAGGGGTGTCGGGCGACGGGCCGGGGCGCGTGGGCTAGGGGCGACGGGCCGGGCTAGGAGCGACGGGCCTACAGGCCGTGCTAGGGGCGACGGGCCGGCCTAGGAGCGACGGGCCTAGGGGCGACGGGCCGTGGCGACAGGCCTAGGGGCGACGGGCCGGGGCGACGGGCCGAGGGGCAACGAGCGACGGGCCGGGGCCGGGTCCTAGGGGCGACGGGCCGAGGGGCGACGGGCTAGGGGCCGGGGCCTAGGGGCGTCGAGCGACGGGGCCGAGCCTAGAGGAGCGACGGGCGACGGAGCCGACGGGCCTAGGGGCGGCGGGCGCGAGCGACAGGCCGGGGGCCAGAGTCTAGGGGCGACGGGCATAGGGGCGATGCGCGACGGGCGACGGGCCGGGACCGGGGCCTAGGGATGTCGGGCGCGAGCGACGGGCTAGGGGTTGGGGCCTAGGGTTGACAGGCCGAGGGGCGTCTGGCCTAGGGGCGACGGGCGTGAGCGACGGGCCAGGGCCGAGAGCTAGGGGCGACGAGCGCGGGGCGACGGGCCGGGGCCTAGGGGCTACGGGCGACGGGCCGTGCCGAACGTCGAGAGGAGGGCCGCACGAGGGCGGTGCACAGGGCAGCAGGTGGTGGGCCCAAGGGTCGTAATCGCTCTGATACCATGTTAGAATCGTAGGAGCCATGGCTAGGGTGTGAGCTAGCCAAGGATGTCGAGAGAGTTCAGGCAAAGGAGGAAGTCGAGAAAGTGAGAAATGATGATTCACTAAAGGGCCAAAGGCCCAAGTTATACAAGAGAGAAGTAAGGAGGGGGTGCACCATAAGCAGGACAATGATATAACTACACTACAGCTAGAACTACATGCAGTTATACAGAAATATATTCTGACAACCTACCCTCGCCCACTCCATCAGCGCGTCTGTAGACTCTGCCTACCATACAGCTTCCAGGAACAAAGTCAGGCGGCATCGGCGCACCTCGTACTGTATCTCGTAATTATTGCCGCTGATGTACTTATCTAACCGCTCCGCCTCCGCCATGTCGTACACTTGGTCGGTGAGTGCTATAAACGACGCCGTGTAGTCCTGGACAGATGCCAACTGTATTCTGACAAAAAGGTCCGCGTCAAACTGAAGCGGGCTCTACGTGTTAAAATTTCTACGAATTAAACTACCTACTAACGGCCTTAGTTGATACAAAAGATCTCTCTTCGGGGTCATCTCCGAGGGTCCATGGGTGCCTGACCGAGGTCAGCCCCTATCCAAGGGTCCGGGCTTGTAGAGAGAGTTGTAGTGGTCACTGAGTCGCAGCAGCGGTTGTCTCTTTCTCGGCGTAGTCAAACGGATGGTAGCCTTGGCAGCGTACTGGTTGCATGCATGGGGAAAACTTTTCACTCAATTTATATTTGAATTAATGCAAGAACATACGTTTTATACTTGCTCTATCACTTTCTATTCTACCTGATTCTAGTCGAAGTCATTGCACATTTGTTTCTCGTAGCGCGAACGGATTTGAACTTCCCGCCAGTCAATTTTCGTCGTCTGCGGAACTGTAGCGTTGCCGAAATGATTTGAGCGACGCGCGTGAACATTTCTACGGTGCTGATCCGAAATTATTTGTTTGCGCCACTTTCTGAACAATTCGATGAAGTCCGTTCGAATTTTGCTCGAGAGAGGATGACGGTGGCGATCAGCAAACTCCCGTCAAATCGTGAGTTGCTCGCGAGTTTATTATGTCGCTTAACTGCCGCTTGCCACGTCTCCAAAGCACTCAAACCGTGAACAGCAAGACTCAACTTCTGATCATCTCTTCAGCTACAAAAAACAGTTGCGATCATGCCAACACAGTCACCGCACAAACAGCAGCAAATCGCAGCCCTCCAAAGGTGGTGAAGCGAGCAACCGCTTGAACCGAACTTGCCACTTCAATAGTAGGCAATCGGAGTTCTTGAAAAGTGGCAACACGAACAGCTGCTCGCTCATCTCGATCAGCTCGCTGCTGACTCAAGGTCAAACTTATGTTTTGAACAGCAACCCCTCCCATTGGTCAATGTTAATTTCGGCCCTCCAACTCATAACACCAGGTTTTTTATGTGCGTCTTGCTCCCATTGGTCGAAATCAGGGGGCTGAACTAAATTTTGCCTCTCCTACGCAAAACACCACATTCTCATCCGTCCTTCATTCCGATTGGTCGATTACACACCCCGCTTTTAGAGATTCGCCTTTTGCCTCAGGTGCCATTTATATTTCTTGATGAAAGCCAGCAGGTTGACAAGTAAAATAGGGAATGTATGGATTCTATGTCGTACCCAACACTACGCGTAAGATTATGCGAGTGCAAGGCGCAGCTTTTTGTCAACAGAAAAGCGTGGCACGAGAGGGTGGAGGGGGTGGAAAGCGTGATCTTTCTTCCCCCTTGGCTCCTAACTTCCTCTACCCAAGTGTCCACACACACCAATCCGCCCATCCACCAGTGGATGCTATAACTCTGTGCATTTAGGGTTTAGGAACTGCTTAAGATCCATGAGTTGTTGTTGGCAGGCAAGGACCCATCATTTGCAGGTTGGGCTGGCCTGACCACCAACATTCGGTCGACCACCAACAAAGATGGTTGTTGATGATACTACTTACCTTTTATATCTTCGTTCTCAAATCATGAACTAGGTATGAGCAGATGACTCTTTCCTATTGCCAGATCATTATTCCCTTTTGCCAAGTTGCTGAGTGTTTTTGTGATTGCGAACACTCAAACGCTCGAACGTGTTCATGACAAACACTAAGGTGTTCGTCTCGAAATATTTTTGGCAAAAGAAAAAAAACAAAGAAAAAAAAAACATCGCCTGGTTTGATTTGAACATGTTCGGGTTGAACCGAACACATGTTCAAAATTTTGTTCATGTATAGCATGAGCCGTAGAGGCTCTTAAACTATGAGAGAAATGTCAGAACAATGAACGAGAATGAATGAACTATGAAAGAGTTGGGTACAAGTACTAACCCTAATTGGGTTGTACCCCTTATGGGCTACCCCACTATAGCCTACACAAATGTAAGCACTATAACATTCTGACACACCCCCATAGGCAAAGTGGGGGAGAACAAGTGGTCACAAGACCAGTCAAGAAAAGCAAAGCAAGCTCAGGGTGGATCACAAAGTCACCACACAGTCCGAGCACAAGCAAAGGGCCACAAGGCCAGTTCACATGCAGAGTTATATAAAAGAGAACAAACAATACAGTGATCATACCCTAGCAAGTGTAAGCATGCAGGTATATATATCGATCACAGTACAAGCAGAGTCAAGCAGTGAGCAAGTGAGGCAAAGTAGGCACAAGGCCTAACACAGTAGAGAAGCGATGATGATCACCAGGCGGAAGTGCCTTGGTGAATATATCAGCAGTGTTGGCCCTATTGGCCACGTACGCAAGACGAAGCTGGCCACGCTGTTGCAACTCTCAAGCAAGGAAGTATCGCAGAGCGATGTGCTTCGTTCTGTGCTCTAGTCTGTGCTCCTGACATAAGGCAATCATGGCCTTGTTGTCTACGTAAAGAACTGGAGGCGAACGAGGCTGCTCTCCCAAGTCAGTCAGCAGGTAGGTGAGCCAGCGAAGCTCCTGTGCAGCCATGGCCCCAGCGTAGATCTCAGCCTCACAACTAGAGCTGAGAACCAAAGACGAGCGGGTAGACCGCCAGGAAACAGAGCCGGAACCAAGGCTGAAGGTGTAACCCTGTGACGACCGCTGCGTAGCTGAGTCATCAACCCAAGAAGCGTGTGCGTGACCAGTGAGGACAACTGGACCCCGTCCTCCAAGCACGAGCCCCATGCCTGACGTACTGCACAAGTAATGCAGTACACTCTTTGCAGCATCCCAGTGCACCTTTCGGTGCCTACCGGGAACCACGTAGTGAGCCAGAAGACTGAGAGGGTACGCGAGGTCAGGTCGTACGCACGTCATCACGTACATGAGGCAACCAACAAGCTCTTGGTATGGACCACTCGGCTCTACGGACTCGTCCGCAGGTGGAGCTGAGAGCGAGTGGGCGGTAGACAGAGGAGTGGGCTGTGGCGAGAACTGGAAGCCGAAGCGCTGAAGGACGTGGTGCACCATGTGTGACTGAGTCACGGTGATGGTGAGCCGTTCTCAGTCACGAGTGGCCTGCAAGCCAAGATAGCTGCGCAGTTCACCCAGGTCAGTGCAGGTGTGTCTCTTCTGCAGCTCTGACTTCACAAGGGTCAATGCCTCAGTGTCAGCAGTGGCAAATACTAGGTCGTCGACGTAGACGAAGACGTAGAATGGGGGCAGCGAGGTGTCGGTGCGTAGAAACAGCGACGGGTTAGCAGTAGAAGGAGCAAACCCAAGAGCTGCAAGTGTAGTCCTCAGTGTGTCGTACCACTTGCAAGGCGCCTGGCCGAGACCGTAGACTGGCCGCCGGAGGCTCCACTGGGTACCTGCAGGAAATGACCCAGTGAAGCCAGGTGGGAGGCGCAGCCAGATCTTCTCGTATAGGCTGTCCTGGAAGAATGCTGTGCTGAATTCGAGAGAGTGCAAATCATAGTCATGCTGAGCAGCGACATGCAGCAACACCCGAAGAGTAGTCATCTTCAGGGTGGGGGAGAAGGTCTGGAAGTAGTCGACCCCCTGTCGCTGTCTGAAGCCTCTAGCAACGTAACGTGCCTTGAAGGCAGGTGGAGAACCCGGCGGCTGCTTCACCCCGAAAATCCACATGCCATCGACTATGTTCGCCCGAGACAGGGAATAGCGTCGAGGTTGGTGGGTGTGGACTTCCAGGATGCCATCTCGGCATCCATGGCTGCCTGCCACTGAGAGGAGTAAGGACCCGTAATCGCCTCTGCGTAAGATCGCAGGGTCGGGATGTCTGGTGCATCCGGGTCTCCCTCAAGGGCAAGCAGCATGGAAGCGAAACGAGGTACAGCAGCTGCAAGACACTCAAAGTCCTCCTGCCTATCCTCAAGGACGTCCGTGCCAAGAGCACACTCACCCCAGACGGACGGAGGACTAGCAGACGCAAACTCAGCAACAAGAGTAGTGGCAAAGTCAAGATGACAGGCAGCAGCAAAGTCAAGCAGCTCAACAACGAGGGCAGACGCAGCAGTGGACTCAAAAGAAGGGTCAGTGACAACAGTGGTGAGGAGACGAGAGACAATGGGACTGGCAGCATGAGCGCGGTCAGACTCAGAGTTAGGGACGGCAGGAAGAGAGGACTCAGGAGGAGGCGGCAGAGGAACACGCAGTGGAACAGAGGAAGGACGAAGTTCCATAGCGTGCGTGCCGGGGACAGGAGGAGGAAGCGAACGAGGAACGCGACAAGCAGTGCAAATAGGCGAGGCACAACGAGACGCAGGCTCACAACGCTCTATAAGACCCCTCGGACTGCTCAGTGTAAGGAGAAGGAGCAGGCAGTGGGGAGGCTGGCTGTAACGGCTGTTGCGGTGGTCAGGCGGTGGACACAGTAGGGGAGGAGTAAGACTAGTAGAAGACGGGACACCAAGAACCTGCTGAAGCAGGGGAACGAAGTACGATCGTGGCCGCACAGTGCCTCCAACACCAGTATCACCAGCACCCCCAGCTCCAGCACCTCCAGCTCCAAGGTCAACAGCTCCAGCTCCTCAAGCTCCAGCGCCTCACGCGCCCATTGCCTCCAGCTCCAGCTTCTCCAGCTCCAGCGCCACCATCGCCAGTGCTTCCAGCTCCAGCTCCTCCAGCTCTAGCGCCTCCCGCGCCACTGCCTCCAGCCCTAGCAGCTCCAGGCTCCGTAGTGTCTCCAGCTCCAGCGCCCCCAACACCACCAGTCCCGGCAGCTCCAGTACCCCTGGTACGAGCACCTCCAGGACCAGCAGCTGCAGCACTTCCAGTACCACCAGCTCCAGCAGTAAATCCAGCACCTCCAGCTCCAGTGTCCCCAGTGGCTCCAGCTCCGGCAGCTCCACTCTAAAGGCGCGCGCGCCGAACAAGCCACCCATGCAGCAGCTGCGGGGAGAGAGGCTCCGGCCAGGGAGACAGCCGCGGCAAATTACAAGCAGGACCTCCAGACGGAGTAGCACCCCGAGGCTCAGCACCTCCAGACTCAGCACCCCCAGGCTCCGCACCCACAGGCTCAGCACCCCCAGACCTAGCACCCACAGACTCAGCACCCCCAGGCTCCGCACCCCCAGACTCAGCACCCCCAGACGCAGTACCGCGAGCAGCACTTGAGTCGCCGGCTACCTTAACAGGCACAGTACCAGGGAGAGGGTCTACCTGAGACACACCTGAGGGAGCAGGACCCGGGGACGGGAGGGGGTCTACCAGAGGGGGACCGGGAGCAAGGAAGAGCGACGGGGGCGGGGGATGGGCAGAGCGGTAGGGAAAGAGATGGTTAAAGGGAACCGACACGGCGCGAGGTGGGGTGGTAAAACTGCCAGCCAAGCGTGTCAGGGGGAAAGCCAAGGAAGACGCAAGGAATAGCATGGGCGGAGATCTTGTCCGCGGATGAATCACAGACAAAGGCACAAGAGCCCCAGACCCGGAACACCGACGCATCGCCAACCTCCCCCGTCCAACGCAGTGTCGACGAAGTCTCCGGAAAGGAGACACGGGGCCAGAGGTTGAGCTGATGCGCAGCGTACCGGACCGCAAACGGCCACAGAAAATGGGGAGCAGCTGCATGGATCATGGAGGTATGAGCGACCTCCATGACTAAGCCAATGCGGCGCTCAGCAATCCCATTTTGCTGAGGGGAGTCCGGAAGCGTGAATGTCTAGAGAATGCCCTCCCCACGACATAAGTCCCGCAAGAGGTTGGAGAAGAACTAACCACCTCTGACAGAGTGCAGACGCAGGACAGGAAGGTCCTGGTGGAATCGCTCGCGGAGCTGGAGACGCACTCCACGGATCCAAGGGATCAAGGCATCGACGACCTGACCCATGCTGCGCAAGGGGAAGACCGTGGTGTACAGCGTGTGGTCCATCAATGACCAGCAAAAAGTAGCGCTCGCGGCCCTGTCCACTGACGCGGGCTTGACTCCACACGTCCATGTGGAGAGTGTGCAGGGGAGCAGTCGTCGGGGTAAACGAGGAGGAGTGAGGAGCGACGCGCTGCCGCCCCTCGACGCAAGGAAGGCAGGCCGGGGCAGGCGAGGGCGGGAGGGGAGGCAGAGACCTAGGGAGAGCAGAGACAAGGAGGCAGGAGTGCATGCCACGCAGGCGTGGCAAGGAGGGGTGACCAAGGCGGTGGTGCCAGAGGAGAGTCTGGTGCGACAGGAGGCGACACGAGTACGGGGGTGCTACCTGACCTGACGCGGACACAAGGTGACGACCCGTCCGTGTACACGTGCAGATCCACACACGCTGACCCCCAGGAGTGGTGGTAGTGACCATCGAATCCTGGAGGGCCGCACTACTCACCAAGTTTGTAGAGAACGAGGGGACGTGAAGACCTGATAGTGAGCTGGACGGAACCGCCTGACACGGGAGAACATTGGAGGAACGGGCAACGATTGGGCCCCCAGAGGGGTCAGCCAGTCGAACCGGGACAGGTGCAGGGAGAGGAGTGAGGGTGGTGCTGTCACGAAAGAAACAGCATGAGGCACCGGAGTCATAGCGTGAAAGTGTGCAAGGCCCGAGCAGGTGCGGCACCAGGGAGAGAAGACTCACTAACACCTAGAGCAGCAGCCTCTATACCTGGGTCAGGCGACACACACAGGTAACAGTCACCCTCAGCACTAGAAGACAAAGCATACATAGCAGAAAGAATAGCATCATAGTCTAGGTCAAAGATCGAAACACCAGACCTAAGCAGTGCTGCCCAGTGGGGGCGCTCCACCTCATCACCAAACTCAGCACGCCAAGCATCGTCGAGTAGGGAGAAGCAGCGGTGCTAAGAGTGAGGCTTCCCGCATGTCTGACCAGCACAGTCACCCGTGCGAATGACATACGGGCAGCTCACACTACCCCCAGACACCCCACGCTGAAACAACCACTCACGAAGCTGCTGGGGCGGCGGGGTCTCGCTCCGACGTTGCTGCCGCTGCTGCTGGCCTCTATCAGAATAATGAACGAGAATGAATGAACTATGAAAGAGTTGGGTACAAGTACTAACCCTAATTGGGTTGTACCCCTTATGGGCTACCACACTACAGCCTACACAATGTAAGCTAGATATAAGTTTGACACACTCCAATAGGCAAAGTGGGGGAGAACAAGTGGTCACAAGACCAGTCAAGAAAAGCAAAGCAAGCACAGGGTGGATCACAAAGTCACCACACAGTCCGAGCACAAGCAAAGGGCCACAAGGCCAGTTCACATGCAGAGTTATAAAAAAGAGAACAAACAATACAGTGATCATACCCTAGCAAGTGCAAGCATCCAGGTATATATATAGATCACGGTACAAGCAAAGTCACGAAGTAAGCAAGTGAGGCAAAGTAGGCACAAGGCCTAACACAGTAGAGAAGCGCTGATGATCACCAGGTGGAAGAGCCTTGGTGAATATATCAGCAGTGTTGGCCCTAGTGGCCACGTACGCAAGACGAAGCTGGCCACGCTGCTGCAACTCTCGAGCAAGGAAGTATCGCAGAGCGATGTGCTTCATTCTCTGCTCCAGTCTGTGCTCCTGACACAAGGCAATCATGGCATTGTTGTCTACGTACAAAATTGGAGGCGAATTAGGCTGCTCTCCCAAGTCAGTCAGCGAGCCAGGTAGGTGAGCCAGCGTAGCTCCTGTGCAGCCATGGCCCCGGCGTAGATCTCAGCCTCACAACTGGAGCTGAGAACCGAAGACGAGCGGGTAGACCGCTAGGAAACAGAGCCGGAACTGAGGCTGAAGGTGTAACCTTGTGACGACCGCTGCGTAGCTAAGTCGTCAACCCAGGAAGCGTGTGCGTGACTGGTGAGGACAACCGGACCCCGTCCTCCAAGCACGAGCCCCATGCCCGATGTACTGCACAAGTAGCGCAGTACCCTCTTTGCAGCATCCCAGTGCACCTTTCGGTGCCTACCGCGAGCCACGTAGCGAGCCAGAAGGCTGAGAGGGTACGCGAGGTCATGTCGTGTGCACGTCATCAGGTACATGAGGCAAACCACAAGCTCTGGGTACGGACCACTCGGCTCTACAGACTCGTCCAAAGGTGGAGCTGAGAGCGAGTGGGCGGTAGACAGAGGAGTGGGCTGTGGCGAGGAGAACTGGAAGCCGAAGCGCTGAAGGATCTGGTGCACTATGTGTGACTGAGTCAGGGTAATGGTGCGCCGTGCTCTGTTCCGGGTGATCTGCAAGCCAAGATAGCTGCGCATTTCACCCAGCTCAGTGCAGGTGTGTCTCTTCTGCAACTCCGACTTCACAAGGGTCTGTGCCTCAGTGTCAGCAGTGGCAACGACCAGGTCGTCGACTTACACGAGAACGTAGAACGGCGGCAGCGAGGTGTCGGTGCGTAGAAACAGCGACGGGTCAGCAGTAGCAGGAGCAAACCCAAGAGCCGCAAGTGTAGTCCTCAGTGTGTCGTGCCACTCGTGAGGCGCCTGGCGGAGTCTGTAGACTGGCCGCCGGAGGCTCCACTGAGTACCTGCAGGAAACGACTCAGTGAAGCCAGGTGGGCGGCGCAGCCAGATCTCCTCGTGCAGGCTGCCCTGCAGGAAAGCTGTGCTGAAGTCCAGAGAGTGCAGCTCGTAGTCACGCTGAGCAGCGACGTGCAGCAACACCCGAAGAGTGGTCATCTTCGGGGTGAGGGAGAAGGTCCGGAAGTAGTCAACCCCCTGTCGCTGACTGAAGCCTCGAGCAACGTAACGTGCCTTCAAGGCAGGCGGAGAACCCGGCGGCCGCTTCACCCTGAAAATCCACATGCCATCGACTATGTTCGCCCCAGGTGGGGGAACCTCGTCAACGTAGGTGCCTGTGGATTTCTAGGATGCCATCTCGGCATCCATGGCTGCCAGCCACTGGGAGGAGTAAGGACCCGTAATCGCCTCTGCGTAAGAGCGCGGGTTCGGGATGTCTGGTGCATCCGGGTCTCCCTCAGGGGCAAGCAGCATGGAAGCGAAACGAGGTACAGCAGCTGCAAGACACTCAAAGTTCTCCTGCCTGTCCTCGAGGACGTCCGTGCCAAGAGCACACTCACCCCCGACGGACGGAGGACTGGCAGACGCAGACTCAGCAACGAGAGCAGTGGCGTAGTCTAGACGACAGGCAGCAGCAAAGTCAAGCAGCTCAGCAACGAGAGCAGACGCAGCAGCAGACTCAAAAGAAGGGTCAGTGACAGTAGTGTTGAGGAGACGAGAGACAGTGGGACTAGCAGCACGAGCGTGGTTAGACTCAGGGCCAGGGATCTCACGAAGAGAGGACTTAGGAGGAGCAGGCAGAGGAACACACAGTGGAACAGAGGAAGGACGGAGTGCCATAGTGTGCGTGCCAGGGACAGGAGGAGGACTGCGACGAGCAGTGCG